CGTTGGAGGACGAGCAGTCATGAATAAGTGTTATTGGAATGCAGCTCGGTAGGTGGTGAAGGTCGAGCAACGATTCTGATTTTTGAGAAGTCCAGGTTGTGGGCTTGGATAGGCTGGTCGACGGTGTAGGGCGAGTGGCGATCCGACACTTAGGATTTATGGAATCGAATCGGTTGGTTGGGAGGAGCGGGTAGGCTAAAATGTTAGGTTCTGAGTTGAGTGGTTCGAGTGGGGTTGGAACAGATGTCGGGAATGAGTATGAGCATGCCCCGACCATGGTGATGATGCCCCAAGGGGGCGTTCCAGTAGGTATACCGACTGGTGTGAATGTAGTTGCCCAAGGGACGAGTGCTGCTAATCCGAGTGGTTCAGGCAGGCAAGGTGGGAGTGGGGAAGACTCCGAAGGAGTCGGTAGCCCATCCTCGTCCAGTAGTGGCTTTGAGGATGAGCTGAGTCAATAGGGCAATGGGATTCTAAGCAGAGATTATCAGCCCGTGCTTAAAGATAATGACGTGTGGCGGCTCCGGACAATGTATTATATTCCGGATTCGATCGAGATCAGGGCGCCACGGTTGTACGAATGGGTCGACTGGGAGGCAAAAGGCTGGGTGAGTGTTTACGAGAAGTGGTTTCACGATGGGCTAAGGTTTCCCATTCCTCTCCTCGTTTGGGAGGTGCTGAACCACTTCATGATTGTTCCGTCCCAGATCATGTCGAACGGTTGGAGGTCGTTGATAGCACTAGAGGACCTTTACGTGTGGCACCAGGTCATGTTTGGGCTGCACGAGCTGCTGTATTCGTATTTCCTGAAGGAAAACGACAAAGAGAAGGGTCGATATCTAATCAACCTCAGGCATGATCGGTCTCACTTGGTGACCAACCTTTAGTCAAGTGACAAGAACTGGAAGGATCGGTACTTCTTCATGATGGGTAAGGCGATCTTCGGGGAGAGAGGCCAGGGCGATATTCCGAGCACTTGGTGGGCCACTGGTGAGAAACCTTGTCTTTGTTTTGTATTTTGATAACTAAATCTTATTGTGTTTTTTTCTTTGCAGAGCTTGAATTCAATCGGGCCAAGCAGAGTGGGGACGGCTTGGACGTGCATACCCAGAAGATTCTAGCCATTCCTAAGGCGCAAAGGGATTGGCAAGTGGTGTTGGAGGAGGCTAACCGTAGGACCAATCATCTCTGGGCTGGAGTAGGAGAGATTCAGTGAGATATCTCATTCCCTTCGTTGAAGCAGACTTGGAATGTGCTTTTGACTTGTTACTGCAATCATACCATTTACGGTAAGTCCAAGCTGAACCCACTAACTGTTGGAAAGTTTGTCCTTGCAAAAAGATTGATGAAGAAGTTGACCGTCCCTAGTACGAGCGAGTCTATCGCCATGCGTCGGGAAAAGAGGAAGAGAGAATCCTCGACTAGAGGGGAGAGACGAGCGGAAGATGTGGTGACGACCCCACTGAGTAGTAAGCTCGTAGCCGAAGCCGGGTCATCCCAAACAACGATCTTGGATGAAGAGACTGAGATGATTACCTTCAAGATTCCGGCTTCCGCGTCGACCTATTCTAACGCGACTTCCATGAGCAAATGGGCTGACTCGTTCTTGTTCCCAGCGGACGAGACCCATTTGAACCAGATAGGCGTGGTCGCAGCCGCTGACTGGGGGGTATCCAGCGCTTTTTAGGTAGGGCAGGAGTTTTTGTTTTATTTATTTCATTGTGGTTGAATACTGATGAAATTGTTTTGTTGTACAGGTATTCATGAGCAGTTTGCATCTGAGCAAGTTTATAATGGTGCAGGAAAAGAGGATTTAGGACGTGTCCAAGGCGAATACTAGTTTACGCCAGAGAGAGGCGGCAGGCTAGAAGGCCGAGCAGGAGAGCCAACAGCGTCTGAAGGATGCCGAGGGTGAGCTAGAGCGATTGAGGGGGACCTAGCCGAGAAGACTGCAGAGGTTGAGTCCCTTAAAGCAGTGCCTTTCCATTGCTGATGATGCCATTATTAGAGCCCGGGGAGAGCTCATGCTCTAGTACAAGGCTGGGAACACCTCTCACTGGAATCCGGATGAGGACATCCAGCTTATGCGGGAGATGTTGGAGGAGGGGGATAAGCATACTGAGGAGCGGATTGATGAGTAGGTGCTCGATTTTGCTAGCCTACCGGGGCCATCGATGACTGAGGATGTGGGCGACCAGGCTACAGGGACGAGTGCTGGTGCCGACGATAGGGTGACTGAGTCGGAGATGGGAGAGACGACTTGCACCAATGACACTTAGCTTTATTTTTCTTTTGCTCATGTATTTTGGGGCCTGCGATGCCCTTTCTTGGCGTGTGTGCCTTTCATTGTATTCTGAACTTAGCCGTTTGAGGCTTCTTCTATATGGTACTTGTGATTCTGTTTTTGATGCTTTTCCTTATGGGTGAATGATTTGTTGATTGCTTCCTTGTTCATAGATGTACTAGGGGTTGAACCGTATGCTTGTGTTATGATTTTGGTGCAGCCCAGTGGCTGAGTCGTGTAAACTCTTTATTGGGTTGGGTTGATGACTTGTTGATTGTGTACGACCCTTCACTCGGTCTGGCGGACTGAATGTGTAGCTTCATGAACCGGGCATGATCGATCGAAGGTGTAGATCCGTAGATTGGGCAGGCTCGATCCGAAGGTGTAAATCTATGGATCGGGCTGAGCCGATCCGAAGGTGTAAATCAGTGAATCGAGCAGGGTCGATCCGAAGGTGTAAATCCGTGGATCGGGCTGGGCCGATCCGAAGGTGTAAATCCATGGATTGAACAGGGCCGATCCGAAGGTGTAAATCCATGGATCGAACAGGGCCGATCCGAATGTGTAAATTCGTGGATCGAGCAGGGCCGATCTGAAGGTGTAAATCCGTGGATCGCGCAGGGTTGATCTGAAGGTGTAAATTCGTGGATCAAGCAGGATCGATCCGATGGTGTAAATCCGTGGATCGGGCAGGGTCGATTCGAAGGTGTAAATCCGTGGATCGAGTAAGGTTGATCTAAAGGTGTAAAAATAATTTGATCGAGCAGGGTCGATTCGAAGATGTAAATTTCTGAATAATACTTCATTAATTTCAGGCCATAAGGCCGACTGTCTATGGGGAGGTGAATAGGCCCACTCATCCCTTTTAAATGAAAACAAAAAGAAAAAACGAACATGTAGATGAATGAGTTCACCTAAAAGTAGTAGCGTTTGAGATGTATTGTATTCCAACTGTTGCTGATGTCTTTGCCTTCGGGAGTCTGGAGTCGGTATGCGCCCTTCCTCGCTTCTTTGGTGATCTTGTAGGGGCCTTCCCAGGTGGGGCCGAGTTTGCTAGAGTTGATCTCCTTAGTGTTTTGGAAGACCTTGCGGAGGACCCACTCGCCAGTTTTGAAAGTTCTGATTCTGACGTTGCGGTTGTAGTGCCAGGCGACCTGCTGCTGGTAGACAACATTGCGGATGCTCGCCTGCTCACGTAACTCATCGACGGTGTCCAAGTTCTTGCACAGGTTCTGGTTGCTGGTTTCCTCGTCAACCCATTGGAGTCTGGTAGAAGGAACTGATACTTCGGCCGGGATAACTGCTTCAGATCCGTATGTGAGGGAGAAAGGAGTCTCGCCCGTGGATGAGCGAGCTGTAGTTCGGTAGGACCAGAGGACTCCGGGTAGCTCATCTGCCCATGCACCCTTCACTTTCTGCAGTCGCTTCTTTAATGTCTACATGGTGGTTTTATTTGATGACTCGGCTTGGCCGTTGGACTGGGGGGTGTGGGGGTTAGAGAAGCTTAGCTTGATCCACCACATGTCGCAGAAATCCCTGAAGCCTGAACTGATAAATTGGGATCCATTGTCGGTGACGATCTCCTTTGGTATCCCGAACCTGCAGATGATATGTTTCCAGATAAAAGCTTTTACCTCTCGGTCTCTGACTTGTGTGAAACCTTCGGCTTCAATCCACTTAGTGAAGTAATCAGTCACAGCCAACAAGAAGACTCGTTGTCCGGGTGCGGTCGGTAGCTTTCCAACTATGTCCATTCCCCACTTCATGAACGGCCAAGGTGTGAGAATGGAATGGAGTCGCCCGGGCGGGAGATGTGAGACATGGGCGAACCTTTGACAATTGTCACAATTCTTGATATAAGCCGCCGAATCAGTGCATATGGTTGGCCAATAGTACCCAACGGTGATCACCCGGTGTAATTTAATCTTCCTTGTGAGAGAGCTGGCCTCTGTTTAAATAGTAACTGTCTAGTCTCCCAATTCTAGTAGGATTGGGAGTTCTCATCGTAATCGTTCTCCCCCTGGGATGTATCCTTGGCCCCCTTATCCTGGCGTGAAAGGGAGTTCGAATATGATTCGGATACGGATGTTGGAGGAGTTGTGGTAGTAGTGGACTACCTTATCAGAGTTCAAATAGGAGTGTGATCCGCAGTTGACTGTGGGCTTCGAATTGGGCCCTAGGCCCAGGTGGTGTGCTGGGATTAGGAGGCCTGAGTCCAGATGATATGGACTGGCTATACTTCATACCGAATGGGCCTCATATGAGGAATTCTGGCTTGGGTTGCGTCGGGACTGGGCCTAGGCTTAACTCTGTCAGATGTGTTATCCTATTTGGGCCGAGGACATTTTTTGGCTAATAGTATAATGCACATATTGCACGCAGCTAAACATTTTAATTGTTTCCATGTCTTTTACAATTTCTCCTTCGTGATGTGGAAGCAAATAAGAAAAGATAAATAAAATAAATATGTTATGTTGAATTTCCTTTTGGTCCCACGTAGGAGATGGGCTATAAATAAAGCGTAAGTATCTTGGAAATAGTATTAAGTATAACTTGAGTTAAATATTTGTTTCTCTTCCTCTTTGAACAGTGAGGTTCACTCTAACCTCACACCGAGTGACATCCTTACATTTTGGCGTCACTTCGATTCATTGATTCGAAGATTTTATCTCATTCACGAGATCTATAGATAAATTCCACTGTTCTGATTATCACCATGATTATAAAATTGACCCTACCAACAACATCCTCCCAGGTAGCATTGCCGTTTTGTAGTCGAACCAATAAGCTTAATTTTACTCCGGCGAGTGGTCTGGAGAAGAAGAGACTCAACCAACCCCGTTTTATGATCAACTGTGGGAAATCATCACAATCACCGATTTCACCGCCTCTGGAGATCATCAATCAATTTTCTGCAGCCACCAAGGGAAAGTTGGAACCTGTTAATGGGAAACCAGGGATTGTTGAGTCTGCAAGATTGTTAAAGGATGGACTTATTTTCCAACAAAACTTTACAATCAGATCGTTTGAGATAGGAAGTGATTTCAGAATATCCATTCAAGCCGTGATGAATTATTTACAGGTTCTAATTATATCTATTTTATTCAAAAAAGTGGTTGATATTCGTCAATGAAATTAATTTCTAACTTGCTTTTGTTTGTGTATAGGAAACATCAATCAACCATCTCAAGTGTTTAGGAATAGTGACTGATACTTTCGGCTCAACATTAAATATGGCTGCAGAAAACCTGATATGGGTGGTTTGTTGGTCGCATGTGGAGGTGGATTACTACCCTTCATGGTAAAGCCACTTTACCACTACGTTCCCATTTGCTTTACAATTTACAATCTTCAATTGTTCACGTATAGGACACTTTTTTATACTTGAGGCATAACTGAATATTTAATATTGGTTATACTCGATATTAACATTCTTAAAAAGATTCAATTTATAATAAAATAATCGGTAGACTAGTCGTAATATCCCAATAATCTTTATCTTAGGAAGTAACGATGAACATAATGAAGATAATAACACTCTACCATTATGACATCCAATCAATAGTTTAACTATGTCGAATTTTCCCCTTGAGATCCATTTACACCTCAAACTCATTAAAGTTTGTCTTCTTTGTGTAAACAGCATATTGGAAGAACCCATCTCTCAGTCTGCAACACTTAGGAGATCTCCAACTATCTCAATATAACTTAAACTAAGAAATCATGCACATTTTATGTTAAAAAAACAAAAAAAAAAAATATCCTCTCCAAGGTTAATTCTTGAGGATATATATATGTAGACGTTAATAGTTATATGTACATGTTAAAGTTTGCTTGAATTAAATCTCATCAAGCATTTTGAGTCTATTTATTTAGCAATTTTAAGATGTTAAGCTACTTTCTAATTTGTAAAAGGTATGAAACCCGCAGCTTTTCTCAAGAATGAATTGATTTAGGAGAATTTATTAATGCAGTTATTTTTTGTTTGTTTTGAAGGGGTGATGTTGTTCAAGTAGAGACTTGGATGTATAGGTCAGGGAGGAATGGCTTTCGTCGAGACTGGCTGATCCGAGACTTGAAAACAGGCAAAACTCTGATTCGGGCAACCAGGTTAACCTAGTTTTACCAATTTATTCCTATTTTCTTTATTCTAATTTCAAAGTGCACTAAAAGATAAAATTTCAATCAAACATTTGAAATCTATAAAAATTTATATGTAATAAGGTTTACCAACTGAAATTCATGGATATTAAATATTTTCTAATGTACGTGTGCGATGACAATCCGAGAAGCTGACATGAGTTTTCTATTTTGATGATTTTCCATGTTTTGGATAAATTCAGTTTATATGCGATGATGAATAAGAAAACAAGGAAATTTGCTAAGCTGAACGGGGAAGTCATCATAGCAGACCTGAAACCTTTTTTCACGCACTGTGACCCTCTCATCAACAAAGATGGCAGAAAATTTCTGCACCTCGATACTGATAAAGCAGATTACAGTCGCACTGGTTTAAATGTAAGTGTAATGAATCTCTCTCTCTCTCTCTCTCTCTCTCTCTCTATATATATATATATATATATATATATATAGAGAGAGAGAGAGAGAGAGAGAGAGAGAGAGAGAGAGAGAGAGAGAGAGAGATTTGCAACTAGGAGAACTAAATAGTTATTTTGTTTTTTCAGCCTGGATGGATGGATATGGATGTCAATCAACATGTGAGCCATATCAAACTGGTTAACTATGTTCTGGAGGTAGAGATTATTTTTTATTATCATCTTTATTAATCTTAATTTATTACATAGTAATTTCATATGATGTTTATTTGAGTATATATGAATGTCTTTTTATCAGGGTGTTCCTCGCTCATTTGTGGAGAGTCATGAGCTTTGCGTCATGACCTTGGAGTATCGGAAGGAGTGCAATGTGGATAGTGTGATTCAATCTCTATCCAAAATCAGTGGCAATCACTTGATAGATAATCAAGGAATTGAGTTCGATCATTCGCTCCCCCTTGAGTGCGGACCAGAATTAGTAAGGGGAAGGACGAGGTGGAGAAAAAAGTTCTGTGGCAAGGACAAAGTTTCTGAATAAAACCATTCTACTTATCAATAAATAAATTTGAAGGTTTTCTGAAATAATATTTTTCCGCTCTAGTATCGGAAGTAATAGAATGCGCCTGACAACAGTGTGTTAACAGGGAATTTATTTTAACAGAAGAAGCCAATAAAGGTACTATACGATAACTGCACCCAAAAAATCAATTAAAAAAAATAGTTTTTAACAAGTAATCAAATCAACACATGAAAATACCACCTAGACCCTTAAACTCATAGAACCCGCAGTTGTTGGAGCCCCTTTGCGGCCTTGATGCGCGCAGCCTCAACCATATACGCCATTAGCAACTCAGCGGCTTTGTGACCTTGTGGCCTCCTTTAGCAAGACTTAGCAACATTGATGGCGACTCATGCGAGGCCGCAGATCGTAGCTGCGACCTTAGCTGGGTTTTTTGGGTTGAAGCTACATTAACTGCCTTGTTGGTTAATTTAGTTCATCCGGGGGATTTGGTTTTGTGTTCCATGGTGGGTTGAGTGAGTTGATTTTGTCATTTGGTTATTGAATTTGATTGATTTCAAAGTGTTAGAATTAATTTGGTTGTGAAATATTGGGTATCTTGTTTGGATCATTTTTCTTAAAATATATTTCTATTATGAATAGTAATTTATGGGTACATTAGTCATTTGACTAGTCTTACGAAATCATATGATAGAAATTCCAGAGATATTTTGTTATTTTTAATATTTGAAGAGATAATGTTATTACAGGAAACCTCATGCATGCGAATGTTTTAAAAAACCCTGAACAAATTTATCTCATGCACGTGGATATAATTACATATTTTAAAAAGTCTTATAGTACAGAGGTATGGCTGTCCTTATTCAACCAATAAGAAAAATCATTATATATGTGTTTATATTGTCAATTGTGTGATTTTATTACATTTGAGGTACAAGATATATAATATATGGATAATATTACAATTACAAAATTAAGATCTCAAATTTGTATCTCAGTTCGTATGATATAATTGATTTGATAATATCCTTAACAATGAGATAAGTCAATTAAATTATCAAATCAATTTTCATATTTGTTAGGATATAAATTTGGAGGTGGTTATTTGAGACCGAACCCAAAAAGCCTACCTAACCCAAATCGTGGAGGAGGGATCGGGCCAAAACTTTTTTTTTTCAAAATACCCCTAGCAAATTACTAAAAACCCCATTTTTTTTTTCAAATTTACAGTAAATATGAAAGCTAAATTGATATTTACAAAAAACAAATAAAATAAAATATTGCATTGAGCAGCCAACAAATGACTGTTGGCAGGCAACTGTCACATGTAATAACTCTTAATCTATTCTCTTCTCTCGCTAATCCAATTTTCAAATTCTCTTCAATTCAATTTATATTTACATTTATTTATATTATTGTTTATATTATTCAATTTCATATATTATTAATATTATTATTTAATTTCTTTCATTTTAATTATTTATTATTTTATTATAAATTCATAATGGATTCCCGAAATTATGAATTCGGAGGATCATCCCCAAATCAGTTTTACGTTTCATCCACCAAAGAAATGGAAGAGTTCGATTCATTTTTCACCATTTTAAAAGGCAGTAACTCCAATCCACAACTACAAATGGTCGAGACTGAGCCCAACCAAACACAAGCGAGCTGCGACTCCATGGCCTGATCGCCAAAGAAGGCCATGTCCGAGGTATGACAATTTTTCAGCAAATCAAAACGGCCAAAGCTAAATGGGTTAGAGGAAGAGACGTGCGGGGAATGTAATTTTTATTCAACAGTTATTGGCGCTGAGAATGAGACTTCAACGATGTGGCGACATTTGGAGAAGAAGCACCCCTAACAAATGCAGTAGTCCAGCTAGTTTGGTTTAGGTTTTAAGTATCGCACTAGGTAGGAGAATTCAAACTCAACTTAATTTTAATCCACAATCCTCAACTCTCTCAACATGGAATTACAAGACACTCATAGCATGAGAGGAAATAGCAAAATTCATATGTGCTTTAGACTCTCCTATTTCTTTATCTGAAAATCCTTATTTTGTTCAAATTATTAAAACTGTTTTTTTGTCCAACAATAACCCCTTTTAGTAGGGCCACAACTAGAAGAGACATAAAAAATCAACTTAATTTTTTTTTTTCAAAATTTTAGCAATATATTTATTACACTTACTTCAGATATAAGGGCTACTAGATCAAAAACATTTTTTTTTTAGTGTCACAATATATTATCTAGATCATGGTTGGCATTTACAACAAAAATTGATAGGTTTTAAAGTATTATATGAAAAACATAATGCTGAAACTAATTATTTTACAATTATTGAAATTTTGCAATAATATTTATTATTTGAGACTAGAGGTGAGCACGGGTAGCGGGGGTAGAATCGGAACCAGAACCTACCTGGAACCGATATTGAGCGGGCATATTTAGGTTCGGTTCCATTTTTTTGGAACCAACATTGTGCGGTTTCGGTTCTGGTTCCTACAACCAGAACCAGAATCGAAACTTGGGAAAAAAAACTCGTAGCGGGTACCCAGCTTAGAACTGCAACGGGTACCATATTTTGGAACCTAGGCTGAAATAAAATATCTGTTAAGCATGGGGGTCTATCGTAATTTTACATATAAAAAATATTAAAATGGAAAAAGTTAAATTTTTACAATAACCTAATTAAATAAATATACAATTATACTTATTACATATAAATTACACCATATAAAATTTTTTAATATATTAATATTAAAATTTTGATTAATTAAGTGTATAATTGGAATTAGGACCAATTAAAAGTAGTTTAATGTTATTAAAAGAATTATTTTTGAATAAAATAGTATATTTGATTGAATAATAATATAATATTTAGTTATTTACTTTAATTATCAAGTTCAAACTGTAGTAAATTAGTAATTAATTAATTATATAAAATAAATTGATAAAAATAATATATTACAAGTTAAATGATTTCTTAATCAATTATAATATTATTTTATAATTAAATGATTACTTAATCAATTATAATATTACATTATAGTTAAATAATTACTTAATTAATTATAAGTTGATAATATTACATTAATAATTTAGTACATTACTTAATTAAATAATTAAAAATTTAATTAATTATAAAATTACACTATAGATTTATAGTATAATTACTTAATTAATTATAACATTGCATTATAAACAAATGATTACTTAATTAATTATAACATTCCATTATAAATATTAGTACAATACTTAATTAAATGATTAAAAATTTAATTAATTATAATATTACATTAAAAATTTATAGTATGATTACTTAATTCATTATAACATTACGTTATAGTATGATCACATAATTAATTATAATATTAATTAAGTAATTAATTATGACATTATATTATAAACATTAGTAATTTACTACATTAGTACAATACTTAATTAAATGATTAGAAATTTAATTAATTATAACATTATATTATAAATTTATAGTATGATTACTTAATTAATTATAACATTACTTTATAAATAAATGATTACTTAATTAATTATAATATTCCATTATAAACATTAATATAATACTTAATTAAATGATTAGAAATTTAATTAATTATAATATTATATTAAAGATTTATAGTATGATTATTTAATTCATTATAACATTACATTATAGTAACGTTGGAAAAGTAACCCGCTCGGCCCAGCCTGCGGCGGGTTATTGATTTTGGTGGGTCGATCCTAACCTACCTGCCAACAAAGGCAGGTCGGGTTAGGCCCGCCATTTTTTTGGGATTGGTTGGCCTAGCCCGACCCGCCAACCCTAACCTGCTGGGTTAGGCTACGGGCTGGGCCGGGTTAGCCCCCCCTCCTTTTTTTTTTTTTTGATTTTTACCATATCAAAATTTAAAATGGCAGAAATTAAAATGATGTGGCAGCAGTGCCACGACTGAACTTGAGATAAGGTCTCAATCTTCTTCTATTCTTCTTCTGAATTTTTTAATTTCACCCAACAACTGAAAAAGAGTTTTAGAAAAAAAAAAAATGGCCGCAATTTCAATGAGTCTAAACCTAATCGGTGCTTTTAAGGGTCTGTCTTTATCGTCAAGCTCTTCCTCATCATTTTTCAAGGGCGAATTCAACGTGGCTCCTAGATCAGTCACCGTTTCCCTCCCACACCAAACGTTGTTCTCGTTAACCATTGAATCCACCCACAAAAAGGGAGCCGGCAGTACGAAGAACGACCGTGATTCGCTAGGTCAACGCCTCGGTGTTAAGATTTATGGTGACCAGGTGGCCAAGCCTGGTGCCATTATTGTTCGTCAGCGTGGCACCAAGGTTCGTCCTTAATTTCTAATTTTACCCATTTATATATAATTTTTCAATAATTGATTTGACTTTGTATAAATTTTCAGTTTCATCCAGGAAAGAACATAGGGATTGGGAAGGACCACACATTATTCTCGTTGATTGATAGGCTTGTGAAATTTGAGAAGTACGGTTTTGATAGGAAGAAGGTAAGTGTTTACCCACGGGAAGTGCAGCCTGAAAATCCCAACAGTTACAGAGCAAGAAAGAGAGAGTACTTCAGGTTGCAACATGAGAAAAAAAAGGCTAGAAAGGAAGGTTATGTAGCTCAACCACAATTGGTATTGGCTTCTTTTGTTGTTGACGATGCATAAAACAACCCAATTTTTGCAACAGCCAACCCGACGGGTTGGCAGGTTCTGTCATACCAAACAAAATAGCAACCCGCTGGGTTGGAGGGTTGCCATATAACAACTCGACCCGCCCGAGGGTTGCATACGGGTTGGGTTCAACCCAGCCTGCCTATAAGGCGGTCCGGGTTGAACCCTCTCTAATGCGGGCCGGGTTAGGGTTGACCCGCCTAACCCGGCCCATTTGTTCCACTTTTACATTATAGTATGATCATATAATTAATTATAACATTACATAATGAAATGATTACTTAATTAATTATGACATTATATTATAAACATTAGTAATTTACTACATTAGCACAATACCTAATTAAATAATTAAAAATTTAATTATAACATTTAATTATAAACATTAGTATAATAATTAATTAAATGATTAAAAATTTAATTAATTAAAACATTACATTATAATTAAATAATTACTTAATTAATAATAACATTATATTATATTATAATCACTTAATTAATTATAACATTATATAGTTAAATGATTACTTAATTAATTATAAATTCATAACATTACATTATAAACATTAACAATTTACTACGTTAGTACATTACTTAATTAAATGATTAAAAATTTATTTTATTATAACATTGTATTATAGATTTATACTATGATTACTTAATTAATTATAATATTCCATTATAAACATTAGTACAATACTTAATTAAATGATTAGAAAATTAATTAATTATAATATTAAATTATAGATTTATAGTATGATTATTTAATTAATTGTTTGTGTTTTAGTTTTGATTGGGGAATTTTATGTGAATTATGATGAATTGATTGAATTCAAGTGTTGCCTAGAGATTAGAGGATTTATGAGTCACATTGGACACAATTGAATGAGTAATCAAAATTAGTTAGAGGTGTATTTTTAAACTTTGAAGGCATTTTTGTCATTTTTTAAACTAATATTGGGGTAATTAACTTTTTACAGGGTACCTGGGAAAGGAATCGAAACCTACATTTTAGGTTCTGGTTCCTTGAATTTAAGAACCTGCACTATGCGGTTCCAGTTCCGGTTCCTTTTTTTGGAAACTTGCATTGTGCGGTTTCGGTTCCCCCGAAAAATACAGGGTACTCGAAACCGCTCACCCCTATCTGAGAGAGTTGTGGTGCTAAAATTTGATAATGCAACTGCTAACACCTCGATAATTTCTTTATTTGAAAAGAGATTAGCTCTGCATGGTGAAGGCATATTTTTTCACCAAAGATGTGCTTTTGATTGTTAAAGTAGGTTTAAAAGCTATACATTTAAAGATTGAAGAGATGCATGCGACTATCAGATTCATCGTCGGTAGCAATTCAAGATGGACTGAATTCCACAAATATTGTTGTCAAGAGAATCTGCCGATTCAACCAAAGAAGTTATGTACGGACATGCTTGTCCATTGGAACTACACGTACTTGATGTTGGAAAAAGCTATACCAATCGTAAAACAAATTACAGAGTTCGTCAATCGGAAGAATATTCGGAGGAAGTTGTCAATGAATTTGATTGGACGGTTTGCGAACTATTTTTTTTCGTTTCTTAAATTTTTTTACAATTCCTCTAACTTATTAAGTGGTATTTAATATGTTTTACTTTGAATTTCTACAACTTTTGCTATATATAGATATAATGAAGATTTGCGCAACATTGTTGTTGCAATGGAAAAAAATATTGGAAATATTGGTTAGATATTTCATTCTTATATGAATTAGGTCTTATTATAGACCCTAGATTTAAATTAAGTGTATTTAATTGTATGGTTGTTGAGATAGGCCATAATTTACAATATGACTATAGTTCTAATTATTTGATAGAATTTAACATAAAATTGGAAAACCTTTTTCCTTGGTATCAGACTAGGCACATTGGAGCATCTAGTGCCCGCAGAGACGAGCAGTAGGACCCTGATGAAAACCAGGGATGGCAAGGAATAAGCATCTGGAGGTTTGTGGAACACGACAGTGGTGGTGGTGGAAGTAGCAGCTCATATAGACAACTTGGACCAAATGAGTTGCATCGGTACCTACAAATGGACATGTCCTACATGACCATGAAGGAGAAGTGTGAGATGAATGTGCTTAAATGGAGTCAATTCCCTATAGTAGCCCAAATGACACGTGACATTTTATCTGTGCCAGTTTCGACAATTACATCCAAGTTAGCATTCTCAATTAGTGGCTACATTGTTGAAGAGTGAAGATGTTCTTTAACCAATGAGATGGTTGAAGTCATAACATGTTTAAATGATTGGACTCATATAGACAAAAGAGATCAGTAGCACCCTGAAGATCTCGAACTACTCAACCTCTTCAGAAACATAGATTTGGAGGATGTAAATATTATTGACGATGAAAACTAATAATTTAATAAAATCAAATTTATTTAATTGTTTATTTGTGAAGTGTGATTGTGTGAATATTATATTTATGTTAAAACTTAAAATTAAATTATTATTATCTTCTTAAAGTTTAAATTAAAAACACCATAAATTTATAATCAATTAAGAATTAAGTCANTGATTTTTACCATATCAAAATTTAAAATGGCATAAAGCGGTCTGGGTTGAACCCTCTCTAATGCGGGCCAGGTTAGGGTTGACCCGCCTAACCCGACCTATTTGTTCCACTTTTACATTATAGTATGATCGCATAATTAATTATAACATTACATAATGAAATGATTACTTAATTAATTATGACATTATATTATAAACATTAGTAATTTATTACATTAACACAATACCTAATTAAATGATTAAAAATTTAATTATAAACATTAGTATAATAATTAATTAAATGATTAAAAATTTAATTAATTAAAACATTACATTATAATTAAATAATTACTTAATTAATAATAACATTATATTATATTATAATCACTTAATTAATTATAACATTATATAGTTAAATGATTACTTAATTAATTATAAATTCATAACATTACATTATAAACATTAACAATTTACTACGTTAGTACATTACTTAATTAAATGATTAAAAATTTATTTTATTATAACATTGTATTATAGATTTATAGTATGATTACTTAATTAATTATAATATTCTATTATAAACATTAGTACAATATTTAATTAAATGATTAGAAAATTAATTAATTATAATATTAAATTATAGATTTATAGTATGATTATTTAATTAATTGTTTGTGTTTTGGTTTTGATTGGGGAATTTTATGTGAATTATGATGAATTGATTGAATTCAAGTGTTGCCTAGAGATTACAGGATTTATGAGTCACATTGGACACAATTGAATGAGTAATCAAAATTAGTTAGAGGTGTATTTGTAAACTTTGAAGGCATTTTTGTCATTTTTTAAACTAATATTGGGGTAATTAACTTTTTACAGGGTACTTGGGAAAGGAATCGAAACCTGCATTTTAGGTTCTGATTCCTTGAATTTAAGAACCTGCACTGTGCGGTTCCAGTTCCGGTTCCTTTTTTTGGAAACTTGCATTGTGCGGTTTCGGTTCCCCCGAAAAATGCAGGGTACCCGAAACCGCTCACCCCTATCTGAGAGAGTTGTGGTGCTAAAATTTGATAATGCAACTACTAACACCTCGATAATTTCTTTATTTGAAAAGAGATTAGATCCGCATGGTGAAGGCATATTTTTTCACCAAAATGCAGGGTGCTTTTGATTATTAAAGTAGGTTTAAAAGCTATACATTTAAAGATTGAAGAGATGCATGCGACTATCAGATTCATCGTCGGTAGCAATTCAAGTTGGACTGAATTCCACAAATATTGTTGTCAAGAGAATCTGCCGATTCAACCAAAGAAGTTATGTACGGACATGCTTGTCCATTGGAACTACACGTACTTGATGTTGGAAAAAGCTATACCAATCGTAAAACAAATTACACAGTTCGTCAATCGGAAGAATATTCGGAGGAAGTTGTCAATGAATTTGATTGGACGGTTTGCGAACTATTTTTTTTCGTTTCTTAAATTTTTTTACAATTCCTCTAACTTATTAAGTGGTATTTAATATCCTACTACTAACGTAGCATTAGATGTTTTACTTTGAATTTCTACAACTTTTGCTATATATAGATATAATGAAGATTTGCGCAACATTGTTGTTGCAATGGAAAAAAATATTAGAAATATTGGTTAGATATTTTATTCTTATATGAATTAGGTCTTATTGTAGACCCCAGATTTAAATCAAGTGTATTTAATTGTATGGTTGTTGAGATAGGCCATAATTTACAATATGACTATAGTTCTAATTATTTGATAGAATTTAACATAAAATTGAAAAACCTTTTTCCTTTGTATTAGACTAGGCACATTGGAGCATCTAGCGCCAGTAGAGACGAGCAGTAGGACCCTGATGAAAACCAAGGATGGCAAGGAATAAGCATCTGGAGGTTTGTGGAACACGACAGTGGTGGTGGTGGAAGTAGCAGCTCATATAGACAACTTGGACCAAATGAACTGCATCGGTACCTACAAATGGACATGTCCTACATGACCATGAAGGAGAAGTGTGAGATGAATGTGCTTCAATGGAGTCAATTTCCTATAGTAGCCCAAATGACACGTGACATTTTATCTGTGCCAGTTTCGACAATTACACCGAGTTAGCATTCTCAATTAGTGGCTACATTTTTGAAGAGTGAAGATATTCTTTAACCAATGAGATGGTTGAAGTCATAACATGTTTAAATGATTGGACTCATACAGACAAAAGAGATCAGTAGCACCCTGAAGATCCCGAACTACTCAACCTCTTCAGAAACATAGATTTGGAGGATGTAAATATTATTGATGATGAAAACTAATAATTTAATAAAATCAAATTTATTTAATTGTTTATTTGTGAAGTGTGATTGTGTGAATATTATATTTATGTTAAAACTTAAAATTAAATTATTATTATCTTCTTAAAGTTTAAATTAAAAACACCATAAATTTATAATCAATTAAGAATTAAGTCATTAAGTCATTAACATTTAATTATTCATTTATATTTAGTTATTTATTTATTAATCAATTAATAAATAAATAATTTGGAGCAATCCCAAATGGGATCGGTCCCAATTGGGCCCAGTTGGGTTCGGTCCTTGCCCATCTTTAATTTGAGAGCAAAACTTTATCAACAATACTATACTTACAAAGATTTTCATACAAAGTGAGGTGACAAAAAATGAATGGAAGAGTAAAACAAAAAGTCAAACTTATTAAATTCACTCTTCCATTCATTTTTGACACATCACTTTGTATGGAGATCTTTTTAAAATTTATTTATAAGTGTAGTATTACTCAAACTTTATATGCATTGCATTACTTATAATATATTAGTCCCATTTTAAGGGTATTTTTTTTTTTTTAAACTATATAAAAAGGAGTTACTATGAATGGAAATTAAGGGGAGCATTAGTATACAATGGCTTATTTAATTAGAGGATTTTTACAGTATTGGTATGGTAGAGTTAGATGGTATGTTATTAAATGATGTTATGTAAAATTAATATGTCATGTTGCACGTTATCAAGATAAATAGTTCAATTAAAATCATTTATTTATAATGTCATAGTCATCTTGCGATATTCTTTTTAAAATAAAAGCAAGCCAAAACTTCTTACACGCAAATTCATCTGATTCATGTTATATCACTGATGCAAACCAAAATAAATAAATAAATGTTGATACTTGATTTTGACACCAATGACTTACACGTGTAAAGCATTGAGGTGACTTAAGAATTACACGTGAAATATAAATGAAAGGAAATAAAGCGGAAGATGAAATTATATATGTTTGTAGAAACATAAATAAAAGAATGACAAATGCGATTTTTATAGTGGTTTAGATACTCAAAAGCAAATCCTACGTCCAGTGTTATTTCATTATTCTTTGACTATTTCTATGATATTGCGAGTAAGGCGTACAAAGAATGGAGAAATGCTTGGCTTACAAAGAAAGATAATAAAACTCAAATCTATGCCTATCTCTCATATGCATAGCCCCTCTTTTCGTGAAGAGAGGTGCTAATTTATACACCTTTTAGGTCAATGTAATGAATGCTTTTGTAAGTTATCTTGACAAGTAAGGACCACTCTTTAATTCTTATCTTTTTAATTTGATAAAGTTGGGATAGGTGTGCGGTCCTCATCTACTCATAGACAAAACTTGAATCTGTTGGGTTGATAATAGCCGTATCCCTTCTGTCTTGGGGCGACGTGACAACTTCTAGACTGTACAAAGCTTTTCTAAACTTTGATTGGTTGGGGCTAATATCAGTGTGATTTTTTAGGCACAACAATAAATAAAAGAAAAAGAAAAAGAAAAAGTAAACACAAGTTTGGAAAACGGGTTATCATAATATTAGTCTCTTTAGCAAAATTAAAATCATTAATTAATTTCTTTATCTTTTAATTAAAAATCACTAAGTAATGATATTTTATGCTACAAATTACAAATTAAAATATTATCAATAGTTACAAATTAAATTGATTGATTTCGAGAAGATTTTAGAAGAGATAACAAAAATTTACGGCCACCATTCCTGGACTAGGGATTATTAATTGGGGTGGTTGTCACGTCACACGTAAACGTGCTAGAGTAATTAAAATGTTAATACAAGCTGTAGCAAGGGTTATCTTGTAAAGAAAGGGAATTTCGGACGTTCATTAATTACAAGGGGATTTGGGCAACGTAGCAGCGGCAGTTTCAGCAAGTTTAGGGTCGTTCACACTCTTAATAAATAGCACCTTCATTTCTAGACTTATGCAATTGAAGACTGAGGTCGGTCACAAGCGGCAGTTTCACTCGAAGAGCATCAACAGGAAACTTAATTTGTTCAGGAGGCAGCAGCTTCATTTGATCTAAGACCAAAAAACTTTGGTCAGACGATCATTTGAAGATGAAGAATTTATAATCTTGGTCATAAGGAAGCCACTATAGAGGATTAATGGTGGACATCAAAATGATCATCCTGTTCCGAGCAGGAATATAATATTATTCACTAAAGTAGCTTCTTTATACTGCATAAAATCTTATGTGTTGTGCTTTGTCTGCTAAAATTTCCATCTTTTTTAAGTTTCTCCTTTCGGTTTATTGATTCCAAAAAAATTAGTTGAAGAAGCCAACCGGGTGGTTCCACAAGATCTATAGGCAAATTCCAGTGTTCTGATCACCATGATTATAAAATTGATCTCATCAGCAACATCCTTCGGGGTACCGTTGCCCTTTTGTAGTGGAACAAATAATCTTAATTTCAGTCCGGCTGCTGGTCCGGAGAAGAAGAAACATAAACAAGCCTGCAGCTTTAAGTTCAACTTTGGAATATCGTCACTATCAGAAAAAAAGAAGAATAAGAAGGAGATCGTAAGAGCTTCACCGCCCACGGAGATCATCAGTCAACTGCTTGTTCCCATCATTAACACGGTGTCTACAGCCACCGAGGAGAAATGGGAACTTGATAATGGGCAACCAGGGATTGTTGAGCCATCTAGTGGAAGATTGTTACAGGGTGGACTTGTTTTCCAGCAAAACTTTACAATCAGATCATTTGAGATAGGAAGTGATTTCAGATTATCCATTGAAACCTTGATGAATTATTTACAGGTTCTAATTATATCTATTTTATTCGAAATGAAATTAGTTATGCCTGATGTATATATTATGATCTTTTCAACTGGCTTTATTTGTTTGTGGATAGGAAACATCACTCAACCATCTCAAGAGTGCAGGAATACTGGCTGATGGTTTTGGCTCAACCTTAGCGATGACTGCAAAGGACCTCATATGGGTGGTTTGCTGGTCGCACGTGGAGGTCGATTACTATCCTTCATGGTAAGCCACTTCACCATTACCCATTTGCTTTACCTGTGTGACAATTCCTAAACTTGGAGGGATATTATATAATTAATATAATTAATTTTGGCTATTATCAATATTAATTGTATTAACCATCTCACTCTAGAACACTTAATTATAAACTTTAATACATGCATGTTTTATGTAAAAAGAATCCTCTTCAAGTTCTTTAAGATTTTTTTATTTACATAAATGTTAATAACTTTATCTATTATTAAACATTAAATATACCATTGAAATTTGCTTAAATTAAATCTCATGAAGTATATTGAGTGTATTTATTATTTAAAAATTTAAGATGTTTAGCAACTTTCTAATTTGTTAAGGTTGTAAACCCCGCAGCTTTTCTTACGATTGAATTGATGCAGGAGTATTTACTTATGTACTTATTGCTTGATTGGGATATCATGCAAGATGAAAAATCAATTTCACTTACACGAAACTTGATCAACCATATAATATATTCGCGTTAATTTGTTTGTTTGTTTTGAAGGGGTGATGTTGTTCAAGTAGATGCTTGGATGTATAGGTCAGGAAGGAATGGCATCCGCCGAGACTGGCTTATCCAAGACTTGAAGACAGGCAAAACTCTTATACGGGCAACAAGGTTAAATTATTTTTACCAATTTATTACTATTCTTTTGATTCCAATGTCACAGTACAGGCAAAAATTTTACTTTTTTTTTTAATTCGAATCATTTTTATCGATATTTATTATTAACTAAATGAAAATTTTCACTTTTGATGATGAATTTGCATGTTTTGGGTATATAAATTTTCAGTCTATTTGCGATGATGAATAAGAAAACAAGGAAATTTGCTAAGGCGAGCGAGGAAGTGATAGGAGAAATGAAACCTTTTCTTATGCATTGTGACCCTCTCATCAACAAGGACACCAGAAAACTTCTGCAGGTTGAAACTGATACAGCAGATTACATTCGCACAGGTTTAAACGTAAGAGTAAATAATTAATTAACCGTTTTATTATCTATAGAGAGATTCCAATGATTAATTTGAACCTAAAATTTCAGCCTGGATGGACGGACGTGGATGTTAACCAACATGTGAATCATATCAAACTGGTTAACTATGTTCTGGAGGTAGATTTTTAATTAATTACCATCTTTACTAATTGGTTTCTTTACTTTCTTCTTCATGTACATGAATTAATCTTTATTACTCACACAGTACTTAATTCATGTGATGTTTCTTGAGAATCGATCTGTGAATATATATTCAGGGTGTTCCTCCTTCAATTGTGGAGAGTCATGAGCTTTGCGCAATGACATTGGAGTATCGGAAAGAGTGCAGTTTGGATAGTGTACTGCAATCTCTTTCCAAACTCAATAGAAATCAGTTGATCTATGATCAAGAAATTGAGTTCGAACATTCGCTTAGCCTTGAGTGTAGACTTGAAATCGTAAGGGGAAGGTCCAGGTGGAGAAAAAAGTTGTGTCATTAATACATAAAATTTCTAAATACAACAATTGTACTCATCAATACATAAATTTATGTTGTATGCATATATATGCATAATTACATGATGTGATTATTAAAAAAATATATGATTACCTGTGTATATAATAATTTTACTCATCAATACAACATGATTATACAACAATTGTACTCATCAATACAAAAAATTGCTTATCACAACATTAGGATATCTCAGTGTCATTGGTTTATGGCTTTAGGCTTTATATGAACATATGCTAACTTTTCACTATACCAAATCTTTCTAATTTCTATGTCATGAAAGAGATAAGAATATTGATTTGTCAAAGAACAGTGAATATTTTTTTCATTTTCTTCCAGTTCCTCAATTATTCATTAATTTTAGTGTTCTTAATTAATATGTATGCTTTGAACAATGATAATAACTAATAGATGTAAAAATATTGGTTTTTGGAACATTAGAATGTGGATGGAGATGAAATGTGTATTCTTGGTATGAGCTTAATTTCAAAAAAGAAAAAAAAAAAAATATATATAAGTAGCTTAGAAGTGTGTATGGTAAATTGGTAATGAAAAATGTGATGAGTTCAGAAAAACGATAACATGGAAATCGGTATGATAATTAAATGTGGTAAATTTGTTTAGTGAAAAAAAATGTTTAGGGGAATTAAAATGTGGAGGATTTTGTCGGTCTCTTTTGAAAAAAAATGATAAATCGGAGATGTATAAGGGAATCAAATGTTGTTGAGAAATGAGAATGTATATGGGAATTAAAATGTGTATTAATTATATTGTTACGTTGGAGGATGATAATTTGGTGAATTGAAGATATTTATAGGAATTAAATGTGATTTTTTTGAGAAATTAAAATGTGCATCAGGAAAAGTGATGAAGCACCTACTGATGTGTTGGACTACAATAGGAGACGTAGGAGGGGAAAACAGAGGATTATTAGTAATGTAGCAAAAAGGAGTCCTGCGCGAGTGAGTGTGAGGTAGAATTTGGGAGGACAGGTGGCAGCATGAGTGTGGTTTGTTGGAGAATTCTGTTATGGAGTGTGGGACTGAATAGTATAAAGGGAGACAGAGAGAATCAGGGGGATATTCTGACTTGTAAGAAAAGTGGAAGAGTGTCTTTTCGAAGCAAGCTGCCCTGGAAGTCCATGTCAAGCCCATCATCACCCCGACAAAATTAAACCCAAGTACTGTTGTTAAGGGTAGGAAGGATTAAATCCACAAAGAGCAAGATTATCGATCTAATATACATTTGAGTTAGATAAAATAGAAATTGGATAATCGTTTAATTAAAAACTAAGGAAACTAATTGATTTGCAAGTAATTAAAAGCATGAAATTAAAATTAATTAAAACTTAATATTAAAGATGTTGCCATTATGGAATCGGTTCAACTCAAGACCAACTCTTACAATTCCCCTCTTCGCTCTATAGTTTCCTTAACCTACAAGACTAGGCAAATCAATAAAATCATTTTCTGGCAATCTAGGTATAATCTATCTTGTCTCTCTGTCGTCTTAGTTATAGATCGATTAGTTAAACACTGTCACTGACTACTGACAAACGTTACAAGTTAACACCACTAGTTGGTACGCCATTAACAGATACAATCTGTCAACACGTATCATTCAATCAACCAACTACACACTCAATGCAACACAAGTAGAAATGACATTAAGTCCGAATATAACTCGACTACAATCGATGTAAAGTAATTTAAAGCAATACTCAACATTTTGTTATCTCAAACCAACATTTATTGTGCAATAGGTTTTATAGCAACTAATCTCAATGTACAACAACATTAATAAAAAATCATGCATCAAACTACATTAAAGTGTTGAAATCACTCATGAAATAAAAACAAACATAGTTTGAAACACAATACTTAATTGAATGTCCAACGCTTGGGCTCATCCAACTGGTTGAGAGCTGTCAAGGAGAGCTGTGAGTGTCAATCTTGATCTCGTCTACACCGTAATAGACAACTGGGAGCTCAACCGCTCATGGTGGTGTTGACGAAGGCTGGAACATTGGGAATGAAGCTGGTCATGGTGGAGAGGAGGTGACCGACGGTAGGATGATGTGATGAAGGGGTGAAAACGACCAATGTAATGCCTGGTAGACGAATAAGAGCAAGTCACTGGAAAACTTTAGATTCTGATGGGTTTTTCAACGAACGATGGCAAAAATGCGATTTAAAGGTACCGATGGAAAGCTACAAGTTGGGGAGTCTGTCTATGCAGATGGGAAGTCGAGATGACGCCGGAAAAGGAGTGAAAATTGGTGAAGAAGGTGAGGAGTTGCAAATGGGAATGTGAAGAGTTGTGCCATTTCTCACCGAAAAGTGATAGATCGACTTCTGTGGAGATCGGGGAAGGTCGACCCGCTACCAGGAAGGATCAACATTGTCGAAAAAGTGAAGAGTCGTGGCTGTGGAAGGTGAAACGTCGTCAGCGGCAGGAGATGAAACGTCACGGCGTGGAGGAGATGGAAACTATAGCTTGGCCAGCATGAGGGAAGGTGAAACGTCGCCAGCTGGCGGCCAAGGGAGGTGAGGGTGGCAACTTGCGCCCAAATGCGAGCTTTCACCTTCTTTTTGTACTAAATCTAGAAAATATCATTCCAGTCCCTACACAAATGAAAAGTGACAAAGTCAACCCCTGATATTTATGACAATTTGATCCTTGAATAGCCTAAATGAGACAAAATCAACCATAATCAATAAATCACACCCTAATATCAACTTACACAATCTCAAAATTCATTCCAAACATGCACAAATTTTAAGGAAAAATTAAAATGTGATTTTTCATTCATAATCTCATAAATTCTTTAATTTCCTCACCATGATTTCATTATTAAGCACAAATGGGTATTTTAATCATCTTAATAGAGTCATTTTCATGACTTTAATAGTCCAGCAGACTATGTTTTCTTTATTGTTTTGATTTTATTTTCATTGTTCTGTTTTCTATTTCTTGATGAATTGAAATTGTGTTAACTGGTGTAGTTTCATTGACATCAATACAAATATCCTCATATTTTGTTTATCTTTTGGGTTGTGTGAGTTTGTTGGTGTGTATTTCTGTGTTTGTTCTTGGTAGATAGATACTGTTGGTGGTTTGATGGTGGATTCGGAATAGGTATCTATCAATTGGTATCAGAGCATAATTGGGGGTTACGAGAATGAAGGCAAGAGTTGAAGATGTTGAAAGAGAGATATCAAAACTTGGGGTTGAAATGAGTACCATCAAAGAACATCTGGTTAAGATCAGGCTTGGATGAGGAGGAAAGACGAAGAATAAGTTGAACGAGGGGAGAGAGATGGTTCGACAGAGGCGTCGAGAAATTCAGGGAGGGTTGACGACCAAAACAATAGGGAATCGAATTAGAATGAAAATGGAAACTCCGGTAACATAGGTCATAATCAAATAGAAGTGGGTGGTCAAAAATTAGAAATATTCATTTTCTTGGGTGATGACCCTTATGGGTGGGTGTTTAGAATGGAGCATTACTTTACTGTGAATGGAATACTAGAACTGGAAAGATTGGCAGCAGTAGCCATGTATGTGTTGGCAATGTTGTCAGCTGGTTTCAATGGATGGAGGCGAGAGCTCCGATCACCACTTGGCCGACCTTCAAACAAGAGCTCCTTTCATCAATTTAGTGGGTCACAAGAGGGTAGCCTTTATGAAGCTCTAATGGGAATCTAGCAAAATGGGATAATGGAAGAATTCTGGCAAAGATTTGAGGCTATATTTGCACAATTGGTGGAAGAGAAAGAAGAAGTATTGATGACAACTTTTTTTAATGGACTAAAGGCTAAAATTCGGGTCAAAATCAGGTTAGCCCAACCTAAAAATTTAGTTCAATTATTGGATTTGGCCCAAAGGATAGAGCAGAAAAACTAGGCTTTGGAGGAATTGAAAGGTGAGCCTGGGCTAGGGTCTTTTGAAGGTGGACTAGGTCAAGCTTTTAATTCAACTGGGTTTGGATAGGGTAGAGCACATGGGTAAGTTGAAATAGGGTCTAGGACTCATTCTAATACATTCCAATTTGCAAATAACTCCAGACAAACTTCCTTCAATGAACAATTGAGAGTCTCCTCCACCCTTTCACAAGCGCTTTTGTTCATGAAACGAAAGACCACAAAGCACGACTTTGACCACCAATCAACGTGGCAGTAGCGCATCAATCCAAAGACCCCTAGATTTCAATCTCTATTTTTGATGAAATCTTTCCTTCAGGCACATGATAGAGAACAAAATTTAGAGGAAGAAGGAAAGATGTTTATGTTTTCAGTGTGATGCAAAATTTGCTACAAGCCATTGATGTGGGGACAAGCAATATCAAATAATCTTGGTTGACAAAGATGAAGATGTTACAGAGCAAAATATTGGAGGGATAGTCTTGAAAATACGAAAAAGCCACCGTAGTAGGGTGTTGAGCTTTCTCTTAGTTCTATCGTAGGGATAAATGGGTCAAAGGCGATGAAATTGAAGGGGTATATACGAGATGAATAGGTGATTGTGTTGGTGGATAGTCGGGCTTCGCACAATTTTCTTATAAAGAAGATAATTAAAAAATTGGGAATTCCAGTTACAAAGACTCAATTGATCGGGCTTAAATAGGAGATGGGTACAGAGTGAAGAGTGACAGTGAGTGTTGAGAGGTGTGTTTGAAGCTTCAAGGGGTTGCTGTCGTGCATAATTTTGTTCCTTTTGAAATGAGTAGCATAGATGTTGTGATAGGAACTGCTTGGTTAGAGACTCTTGGAGAAACTACTATGGATTGGAAGGAACAAGTTATGAAGTTTAGGCTTGGTGATGATACTGTGAAGTTAATGGGTGACCCATCCCTTAGCAAAACGATGGTGTCCTTGAAAGCAATGATCAAGACACTGCAAAATGAAGGGAAAAGTTGTATGGTTGAGTTCGGTCAGTTACAAAAGCAATCTGAGTATAAGAAAGATGTGGATAGCCAACTGTTGCTAGTGTTAGAAAGATTTCAGATCATTTTTAAGCTGTTGTCCGAATTACGATTCTGCAGACCACAAGATGATGCCATAA